GTATTTTATTTAGATTTTATGTGATAGGCCAACACAAAATGGCTTCAAAAGACAGCTGTATTTATACTGAGATTACATTACACACAGGTGGATTCTATTTACTAATTAGGTAACTTCTGAAGGCAATTGGTTCCATTAAATTTTTAGTTAGGGGTATCAGAAGAAAAGGGGGCTGAATACAAATGCACGCCACAATTTTTAGATATTTGTAAAAAATTTTGAAAATTTACAATTTTCCTTCCACTTCACAATTATGTGCCACTTTGTGTTGGCCTATTACATAAAATCCCAATAAAATACATTTACATTTTTGGTTGTAACATGACAAAATGTGGAAAAAGTCAAGGGGTATGAATACTTTTTCAAGGCACTGTATATAAAAGTAAAATAAAACATAAAAATGTATTAAATACTTCCTATAATTTTCCTTTCCTGCCACATGTACTGTATGCTGCTATGTTGGTGCCGGGAAAACAAGTTTCTTTTTCATCCATTGAGGGAGTTTTAGCTATTCCCAGCTACCTTTGTGTGTTCCAGCTCCTCCAGTTCCATTTTCTATACTAAAAAATAGGGAAGCTGGGAAAGTGGCAGTACCCCATAATGGCCACAGAAGATGTGCAGACACGGGAACACAGAACAGTAACAGTAATGGCCAAAAATATTTATCACCCTTGCATTTCTGTCAGATAATGCACCACCAGAAAATTGTTGCAATTACAAATGTTTAGGCATTCTCATATTCATTTCTTTTGTTTTGTATTGGTGTGAAACAAAAAAGTGGAGAAACAAAAATCAAAATGTAACACATTCCACACAAAACCCCAAGAACTCTACACAGGTGCTCTATGGGATTGAGATCTGGACTCATTGCTGGCCAGTTTAGTACTCTCCAGCACTTTGTCCTAAACCATTTCTGGGTGCTTCTTGACATGTGCTTTGGGTCATTGTCCTGCTGAAAGACTCATGACCTCTGACAGAGACCCAACTTTCTGACACTGGGCCCTACACTGCACCCCAGAATTCTTTGGTAGTCTTCAGATTTCATAATGCCATGCACACGGTCAAGACATCCAGTGCCTGAAGCAGCAAAGCAACCCCAAAACATCAGTGACCCTCCACTATGTTTGACTGTAGGGACTGTATTCTTTTCTTTAAAGGCCTCATTTCTTTTTCTGAAAACAGTAGAATGATGGGCATTACCAATAAGCTTTCATTTTGTTTCGTCTGTCCACAGCACATTCTCCCAAAAAGATTTTGGCTTCCTTAGGTAAGTTTTGGCAAACTCCCATCTGGCTTTTTTATGTCTCTGTGTCAGCAGTGGGGTCCTCCTGGGTCTCTTACCATAGCGTCCCTTCTCATTATGATTGTGACGTATAGTGCGGGCTAACAAACAAGCAAGATATACCTGTGCTCAAATCCCAATAGCTAGTACATGCATTTAGAAAGCATGTACTAGCTTATGGGATATTAGCACAGGTATATCTTGCTTGTTGTGTTGTTGGTCAGTAGCCAGACCTAAACCTGGTAGCTCTCCCCCACTTTGTCTTTTTCTCCTATATTGGCATTGTGTTCACAGTAGTATTTGCGTAGGCATAGCAGAGTAGGACTGGCCATAGAGGGATTACTTTGCCGCAGTTGGCCAGCTTAAACACGTATTGCAATAGGTGTGAACCAAATATCTCTATTCTTTATTGCAAAGTCTGCTGGAAAGGGTGTATACCAGTGTGCAGAGGGTCCTTCAGAATTTCTATTATATAGTGCGAGCTGACACAGTTGTACCCTGTGCCTGAAGGTCAGCTTGAATTTGTCTGGAAGTTGATCGAGGTTCTTTATCCACCAATTAAACAATCCTTCGTTGCAATCTTTGATCAAGTTTTTCTCTTTTGTCCATGTCCAGGGAGATTAGCTACAGTGCCATGGGCTGTAAACCTCTTGACAATATTGCCTATAGTGGACACAAGAACATTAAAATCTGTTAATTGATACAGGTGAGTATAATTACAAATTACAGGAGCATCACAAACTTGGAATGCAATTATTTCTTACAATTTTGAGAAAGTGCCAATAATTTTGTACAGTCCATTTTTGAGGTTTTGCATGGAATGTGCAAGATTTGGCTTTTTGCTTCTCCACTTTTTTTGTGTCATACCAATACAAACAAAAGAAATAAACATGAATTGCCTAAACATTTGTAATTGCAACAATTTTCTGGGAGAAGTGGTGCATTATCTCCTAGATTGTAAGCTCCAAGAGCAGGGCCCTCCTATCCCTCTTGTATTGAACTGTATTGTTGCTGTATTGTCTCCCTTTATATTGTAAAGCGCTGAGCAAACTGTTGGCGCTATATAAATCCTGTATAATAATAATAATAATTATCTGACAGAAATGCAGGGATGCCAATATTTTTGGCCATGACTGTAACTCACCAATACAATCCACAATCCCCGGGAGATGTAAGAAACTGCCAGTTGGCTTAACAACCACCATCTACCAAACACTGAAATATCAGTGCTGAGTGGAGTGACTTACAGTATATCAATGTTGGGCACAATGTGTGTTACTCTTTAAACGAATGCATAATATTGCAAGTGCCTTTTTTTTTCTTAGAAATTCCCCTAAAAGTAAAAGTGTCCAGCCATGCCTAAACACATCTGTCTCCTAAACTTGCCCCAAGCAACTGTAACCAGAATGACTGGCAAATATGAGACAGAGAGCACAAAACAAAATATATTTGGCAGCAAACTACAACAATTTTCCATTGGAAAAAACATGTTAAATATAAAATTATGTACACTTAATGCAGTGGTAGATTTTTCTCACAGTTTTTCTCACTCTGCAGGAATACATCCATCTTACCATCCTACTCTGTAGCAATTTAAGAGGACCTGTAGTGAAAAAACAAATGCATAGTCATTAGAATATGCAGCATGCAGGTCATACACAAAAATCCATGAACATGCTGGCAAACCTTGTGTAATGGTAGGATTCCTGCTTCGTCGGTGGCCCATCACATGACCTGTATTGGGGCAATGATGTGGTGTGCTCTCTGTAAAAGGATCAGTTTTGCTCATCCAATAAGATTGAGCAAAATTGAGAGTTTTATCTTCACCAAAATCGTGAGGAAAATCTGGGAGTTTTAGTGAAATGTTGGCATTGTAGTGAAATGTATTAGAGACAATGGAGAAGGTGAAGTTTAAGTGTTTTTTTTAGGACGCAATAGGCTTGAAATATCTCCTGGGAATCACAGCAGATCAATTCAACTATTCTAGACTTGTCCCAGTGCCAAGAAACATCCCCTCATTATCTTCATTTTACATTTTTTTTCCGATTGACATTAAAAAACGGCAAAAAAAACAAAAAACAAAAAAAAACACACCAATGCATTGTAACTGTACTATATGCAAGTTCACAGTGCCCAAAAGTGCAGAGGAAACAGTTTCTAATATATCAAAGCTATTGTCATTAGTGCATGTCATTACAGAACAGTGCAGTGCAGATTCTACTTGCTACATTGCTCTCATGCTTGTAGAAAAACAAGTCAATGGTAATGCTCAAAAACCCCACTAAAAACACACTACACTTTTAAAGCAGGAAAAAGGCATGTTTTGAGTCGCATAACATTTTAATGCACCAAATTCAAAATTCATTATGCATTTTTAATAAACTCAAACACTGTTAATGAGTCAGTGAGTGCACCCATCTCAAACTGTGGTGGAGAGCTGGTGAGTACACTCACCTCAAACCTTGGTGTGGTGGAGAGCCAAAGAGTACACCTATCTCAAACTCTATTGGAGAACCAGTGAGTACACCCTCCTCAAACACTGTTGGTTCATCCATCTCAATCTCTGGTAAGAGTCAGTGAATACACTCACCTCAAAATATGGTGGAGAGTCAGTATTACCACCTCCAACCTTGTTGGACAGCCAATGAGTACACCCACCACCCGAAGCCCTGGTGGAGAGCCAGTAAGTACACCCACTTCCAACTCTGGTGGAGAGTCAGTGAGTACATCCATCTGAAACCCTGCTGGAGTGGCCGTGAGTACACCCACCTAAAACACTGGTCGAGAATCAGTGAGAACACCCACCTCAAACCCTGGTGGAGATGCAGTGAGTACACACACCTCAAACTCTGTTGGAGAGCCAGTGAGTACATCCATCTGAAACCCTGCTGGAGTGGTCGTGAGTACACCCACCTAAAACACTCGTCAAGAATCAGTGAGAACACCCACCTCAAACCCTGGTGGAGAGGCAGTAAAGTAAGTACACCCACCTCCAACTCTGGTGGAGAGTCAGTGAGTACATCCATCTGAAACCCTGCTGGAGTGGCCGTGAGTACACCCACCTAAAACACTGGTCGAGAATCAGTGAGAACACCCACCTCAAACCCTGGTGGAGATGCAGTGAGTACACACACCTCAAACTCTGTTGGAGAGCCAGTGAGTACACCCACCTCAAACCCTGTTGGAGAAGCAGTGAGTACACCCAACTCCAACCATATTGGAAAGCCAGTGCGTACACCTAGTGTATATTGTATTCTGTTGGATATAGAGTTTTTAAGTCCACCTCTGACCCTGCTGGAGAGGCAGTGAGTACATTCCCCTTAAAACCCTGGAGGAGAGCCAGTGAGTAGATGCACTTCAAACTCTGGTGGAGAGCTAGTAAGTACACCCATCTCCAACCCTGTTGGAGAGCAGTGAGTACACTCACCTCAGACCCTGATGTAGAAGCAGTGAGTACACCCACCTGCAACCATGTTAGAGAGCCAGAGGATACACCTGGCTGTATATCATACCCTGTTGAATAAATACTTTTAAACCCACCTCTAATCCTGCTGGAGAGGCAGTGAGTACACCCACTTCTAACCCTGCTGGAGAGGCAGTGAGTACACCCACTTCTAACCCTGTTGAAGAGACAGTAAGCAAATCCATATCATTCTCTGTTGGATAAACAGTTTTTTTACCAACCACTAACACTGCTGAAGAAAGCCAGTGAATACAGTGAGTACTCCCAACCAGGGGCGGACTGACCATTTGGAAACTCGGACACTGCCCGAGGGCCCGGGGGCAGTAGGGGGCCGTATGAGATGCCCCTGGTACCTTTTTCAAAGGCTTTTTTGAGTTTGGGCAAGGACACAGGGGCCCCATGATCTTCTATTGCCCGGGGGCCCCATGAGTTGTCAGTCCGCCCCTGCTCCCAACTCTAAGCCTGTTGGAGAGGAAGTGAGTACACCCACCTCAAACCCTGGTGGAGAGCCAGTGAGTCCCGGTCCCCCAAACTTTGGTGGAGAGAAAGTGAGTCCCCGTCCCCCAAACTTTGGTGGAGAGCCAGTGAGTCCCCGTCCCCCAAACTTTGGTGGAGAGCCAGTGAGTCCCTGCCCCCCAAACTTTGGTGGAGAGTCAGTGAGTACACCTGCCTTAAACCTTTTGGAGAGCCAATGAGTACACCCATCCCAAACTCTAATGAGGGCATTTATCTCAAATGCTGTTGGAGTGTCAATTTGTGCACAACCTCAAACCTTGTTGGAGAGCTAGTGAATACACCAATAACGCTTGGACTAGAGCCAAGTAATCGATTGCTCCCATTACCAAACATTCTGCATTTTAATAACCCTCATGCCCACTGTCGATACTAAAAAGATGTGTAGACAGCATTCACAAGTATATTTTTATTATTTATCACCATATATTATTATTATTCATAGCAGTAATATTTAATGTAGTAATTAATAGATTATTTTATACAATACATGTTTAGGGGTTGACTAGCAAAATGAAACTTCAAGAAGTTGAAGAGGAGAATAGTTTGGAGACCTTGGTTCTAACCTTTCTCCATTCTATCCAAAACTGGAGTTGACTTTAAATGCATGCACTCATATTTCTACATGAAATTTATTTTTGTGCTATGGTTGGACCACACTTACAAAATAATCAATGGTTTTGTCTTTTCTACACAGCTTAATCCTATGATGTAATGGGATTATATACGGTTGCATTTTTCCCCCACTAAATCTATCTGTGTAATAGACAGCGATATTAAATACACATCAGTGACTGAACTGGAATACTCTGTGGGCTGGAAAAAGTGAGAGTTAAGTGCAAGTTGTGTTTATTGGCAAACTGAAAATGTGGAAAAGAAAAACACGCATGGCATCAATGTCACCATGCCCCATCGAACGTTACAAATAATCCTATTTGGAGATCTCGATCTTGCCTCCGTCAAGCATTTCGTGTTCTGTTTAACATTCGTCATCTCCAAGCCAGGTGTACAAGTGAGACAGCAAACCCTTCCATCATCAGTGCATCTATTTCTGGATAATGCATCTTGCTAAGTTAAAATAAACTCATACCATAACCAAAGCCAACTTCTTCTAAAATGCTGACAAAGACATGTCTCTAGTGTACACATATTGTGCCTGCATCTACAAAGCCACACACTGCTACCTCTCCTAAGGAAAGTGCCAGTTGGGGTAAAAATCTCAAGTAACCTTATAGAATGCTGGGTTTGCCCATTCCAACCCAATCCTTGTTGGAATGGGCATCTGATTTCCTTGTTCATATTAAGTATGTACCGTATACTGAGTAATGTGTAATTGTAACACTTCCAGGTATTTATTACCATCCATAGAGATCAATGTACACCCTCTGGCAATGCCATCGTCTCCTATCTTTTGTTCAGGAACCATTAGGATCAGCTCAGTCGAGATGCTGGCTCAGAAAAGAAACAGTGATGCCTCTGCAGTTCCTGGTGGTGTTCACAAATGTCTAACACAAATCAGCCCCTTGATGGAGCCACTCACCTTGCTACAGTATTGCAGTCTGATCACTGGGAGAAGTGCTTATTCCTGCCTGCAGCAGACTGATGGCATCATCATCATCATCATCATCATTAAACATGATACAGTTGCCTTATAATGTGACATATCAGGAGTGTACCGTTAGCTACTGAGAAGTCCAGAAACAATGTATAAACATGGGGAAGTTACTAGACGTTAATTTAATGCAGGATCATTGTGACTAGATGCAGATACAATAGTGAGTAATTTACAACTGGTTCACCAACCTACACAGTGGCAAATACCTAAATGATTAGAATAGATTTAAATATGGTGACCCCCCCCACCCAGATGGCCTTCCATGCCTTATGCATCAAGGCCATATTTTCCTAAAAAAAAGAGAGTTGAGCTGGGCTGCAGCTACTTGAACACTTTCAAATGTGCAATACTTCTCATCCCCTCTGCCCAAGGAGCACCCAAATTACTAGTGTTTTATAAAGTATATAATTTTATAAGGTTCAAGTCTTCCAGTGGATCTGTGGATCTACCTGTAGCACCCTCCTAGTTTAGCTAGGGGGAGCTAGATCCTAATGGTTAAACAGGAGCTGTTAGCAGCTCAGGTGTAATAGCCAGATGGGTCAAATTGTGATCAGGGCTAAGAGACTTAGCACGCCAAATTCCCTCTGGAATTTGCCCCCGCTCTGAGGCTTTCAGAAGAGGGACTTAGAGGCAGTTCTGAGGAGTGGCTGACTGCACTTTTGATGGACCTCAGCCAATCTCCAAAAGAAGGCTTGGCAAGGGGCTGGGACTCCCTTAAAAAGTGTAAGAGCCTACTCAGTGGCAGGAGTGTGTGAGGAGTCTGGCCGAACAAGGCATAGGAAGATGTAAGGCTGGAGGAGAAAGGCTGCCAGGAGGCATAGTGGGATGGGGCCTGCCTGCCAGCCTGGAGATGGAAAGGCAAAAGACTCATGACTCACTGGCCCTCTGAGTGAAGACTACTTGTATGGCCGGGAAGGAGCAGCCTAGCTGATAGACTTGGTAGTATCAGCAAACCTGCAAGCGGTACAGGGAAGTGAGTACACCTGCACCCCCTGGGTAGGGGAAGGAGCACTGTGGTGGGAAACCAAATTAGCCCCCTACTGGTGACTGTTCACCTCATTTAAAGGAACTGGAGCCAGATCCACTGCTCAGGAAGAAAGTCTCCAGATTGCTGTGTGAAAAGGAGTTAATCTAGGGTCTGGGGTGGAACAACTAAGAGATGCTGGCTAACACTCCAACAAAGACTGCATTAGAGAAGAGAAGCTTGAGAATAGTTCAGGAAGTTGTCCTTAGATATCGGTTCCCTTGGGCATCCTATACTCCCCTTACCCTATCCTTGTTCTAGTCCCCTCAATAAATAACAAAACCAAAGCTCAAGGACTGGTTTCTGTCCCTGAAAACAAGCTTGTGTGGAAAATGCTGAATGACTGGCTGTGCAGAACTATAGGGAGAACCAAATTCATCAGCAATCCCTAAAGGTTAATGCTACACACCAGTGGAACTTTGGTCATCCTTTGAAAAGTATACCATGTGAATTGTTTAAAGTCATGAGTTAATAATGCAAATGACATTTAAAAGGGATGATATTTTTGAACTGGCCCCTGAGATGCACATGCACCATAATGCTGTATCTGTTTGATTCTAGGACTGGAGGAAGAGACAAAATTGGAGATGGAGCTGTTGGAGCCAGCAGCCTGGGCACCACAATGTTTGGAAATCACTCTTCTGGATTTCTGGGTCTGTCAGATGTGCATGCATGGGATTACCAGTAATGACAGGGTAGGAGCCAGAGTTCTGGATGAGGAAAGGAAGGAGGAAGTGAGCACAACCCCAGATCTTAGAGCCCAAACCCCAGGTACTCATTAGGCAACTACCCACCCCTTCAATGCCTACCTTTCTATTGGTTAGAGGGGCTTGTACATTGCAATGAAGGGTCCTAATTGCAAGAAAGAGTTCCAAAACAGGGATGGTGCAAGGATTGAAATAGGAAAGCTGCTACTGCTGACTTGTTTTTTTTAAAAGGTGAAGCTGTCCAACTGATGTATAAAAGGCCCTACTCTAAGATATTAGCAACCCTTCCTCCCTCCCACTGCCCTCTAATTAACCGTTGGTATGAAAAAAAAAATATTGAAATGGCCATTTTACTTACCTGAAGTAAAATGGTCACAACAATCCTTCTCTCTTCTTCTGTTTGCTTCCTGGGGTCCTTCTTTGGTCCTTCCTTGGGGGCACATCATCATTCTGCTCTGGGCTTACAGACAAATGCTGCAGAGAGCATCACCAAACCATTATTTTTGGCTATTCTCTCCATTATTCAGGCCTTACCATTAGAGAAAGAGGAGGAAGAGCTGTTACATCATGTATCCGGACTATAGACCACTGGAATAAGTGTAAGTACAAAAATTAATAAATAAAGATGGCAGGGGTGGGTGCTGTGCAACCTACAGTTGATCCTTACGCCCCGATTCACACCAATGCAGCCCAAAGTTGTTCAGCTTTGAGGTCCAACTATGCTGTGCAACTTTATTACAACTTGCTGCCACTCAGCGCAACATCAATAATACATGTCAATCAAGTTGCAATGAAGCCGCACAAAAAAAGTGCAGCAACCTTTTTTGGAGCGATTGGAACAGGGCTATTGAAAGACATGGGATACGACTTAGAAGTGGCAGGTGTAAACCAGGCCTACAGTACAACTAAAGGCTTCTATATGACAGTCTAAACAAGTACCAAATCCAGTTACTATGAGATACACAATCCTAAAAAAAGTAAACAGACACTTCCTTTACCTTCTCTGACTGAGCCAAATCCTCCTTCATTTGTGTCTCACACACTCCCTCCCAGACACTGCAGCTCACAGTGGGAGGGTTTCAGGAACAGAGACAGGATTTTAAATCCAGAAAACAGTGGGAAGGGTTAGGTGTGCCCAGGTGCTGACTGACAGGCTACGGGCTTGTGAATCAGCAGTGACATTGCTGATAGCCACGCTCCCTGGAACAGTTTTTTATCCTAGTGTAATGCAAGCAGCCACCGCCTAAATGAGAGTAGCAACTCTGCCTCAATTCAGGAGCAATGCAGCAGCATTGCCACTTCATAACCGGAAGCTGCTGAGGAGGGGGTGGGGAGTACATAAAAAGTCTGAGGCCTGGGGTAGAGGAGTTCTGACCCTGAAGGGCTGCTGCCCTTTTAGGGAGTCCAGCTGTACTTCTACATGTGTTCATTGAGGTTCCAGCTATGTTAGAGCTGGAGGGCCTATTCTACTGAATCTTGCTGGAACCGAGTAAGGGAATTCACTGAGGATCTGGTCTGGAGAGTTCACAGGAAAATATTCTACTGAATCTTGCTGGAGTTGAGTAAAGGATTTCATTGAGTATCTGGTCTGGAGAGTTAATGGGAGAAATGCCTGGTTGATATTGGAAGGTGGCATCAAAGTATCCAAGGACATTGTGAGTACAGACCTTTGTGTAGGATCCTAGTGGCTGTGTGCTGCTACTATCCCTTGTGCATCAGTGCCAGAGTTTGCTCAAATTTTGATGGTTCTTATGATGTCTCAGTGTTGCTTAATCCCTTTGTTGTTGCTGGAGGGACTGTATTAGGAAGCTTTGGTTAAGTGAAGAGATTACTTGTGTTATTACCAGGGGCGGACTGACAACTCATGGGGCCCCCGGGCAATAGGGGATCATGGGGCCCCTGTGTCCTTGCCCAAACTCAAAAAAGCCTATGAAAAAGGTACCAGGGGCATCTCATGGGGCCCACTACTGACCCCGGGCCCTCGGGCAGTGCCCGAGTTTCCAAATGGTCAATCCGCCCCTGGTTATTACATTGTGCTTTTGGCATATCCCACAGTTTCCCTGCACCCTGTCCAAGTTCAGTTTATAATAAATCATCAGAAAAGGATAGCCCTAGACTGTTCATTGAGCTAGAAGAGTGACTGATTCTGTGTGCCTCATTGCCATCACACTACTTTTGGGGGAGAACCTGGGACAAATCATAGGGCCTTTTTGGGAGTGAGGGCTACACATGTTCAACATAATGCTTTTCAGAGTGAAATTCACAAAATGGGATTCCAAAAATGCCCCTGTGCTTAATGCCTAATTACTGATTCCCTTTTCTGATTATGAGTTACAGTGGCACCTGCTGTGAATATTACCAATACCATCACAGCAACTGAGTGTAATCAATGGAAGGGGACTTCATAGAAAACGTCTTGCTTAGACCACAGTTCTTCTTTAAGTGAACCTATTTTGCCTTTAACATTCTTGAACTGTTCCCAGATGGACTGCTTAAAGATAAAGCACTGACCCAGCTCACCATGTGAATATTTCACAATTAGTATGTTGGTTGAGCTTTGGCATTTGCCATTTAATCCAAGCTATGCATCGCTGGTTTTCCCTGCTGGAAGCAGGCACATTCTCAGAGGCTGTTCCTTTTGTAGTTACAAGTAAAATCCACAAAACAGCTGGAAAGTGCCAAGTTTGTATTTACATACCAAAAACAAAACATCCTCCAAGCAGCTCCGAGGCCCGGTGTTCCCTCTCTGTGCGTCTTGAAGTGCATTCATCTTCGTCCTCCAGCTGATTCCCAGCTGCCGGTGGTGAAATACATACGTTGGCAGGGAACCCAGCCCCCTTTTATAGCTATGAAGTTGTGCCAACAGACATCTGTCTTTCCTCTTGATGATTGCAGACCTTGGTGGCAGAGGTTTTAGTGGAGGTTGCCAAGTCTTCTGCCACACCTGCCATACAAATAGTTGGTCTTTTAGCTGAAGCATATTCAGCTCTTTTGCCAGTTAGGAGACATTTAGGGTTTGTGCACATGGACTTTTGCCACTGCAGTAGAGCTTCAAAGATTCAACAGGACAGTTTGCTCAGGCCGAATTAGGACACACGTAGGCTTGCGACACTCAGGGTATAATTCCATGGCCCACATGGAGAAATCCAGGAAGTATTTGTATCTAAAAACTTGTGTATGTCAAATGGTGTACAATATGGAAGCACTGCTTGCAGGATTCAATGAATCCTACAGTATGGGGTGCAGCCACAGCTAAACGTTGGGTAGTCATCAAAAACTTGTACTCAACTAACCTTACAGTCAAGGCCATTTTTCTGCAGTTGCAGAGTTCCCTTTGCCTTTTGAGGTGAAACAGTGCTTGTCAAATAACAGGTTTACCTAACAGCCCCCTTATCTTCCGTACAAATAGTTGACCTTTCAGCTAAGTTACAGTGAGCTCTTCTGGAAGTTGGGAGAATTTTTGCCATTGCAGTAGATTCTCGGAGATTCAACAGGACAATCCACATTTGCCAAATTATGACACAAGTAGGACTGTGACAGCTGGGATGAATTTCCATGGCCCGTCTGGAGAAATCCAGGAGGCTTTGTATCTCAAAAGTTTTGTCCAGTGGTGAACATTGTGGAAGCATTGCTTGTGGGAGTCAGTGAATCTTTAAAGTGTTACGAAACCCAAAGCAGTAAATTCAGTCTGCATATGCAGTAAAGCATGCTTGTTATACTCACTGTGGAACCTAAGGAGCTAATCCTCTGCATTATGTAAAAATGCTTTTTGATCCTGACTTCTCTGAATTTTTGCTTCTTCCAGTGTCCCACTTTTATCTCCTGATAAGACATATGGTGTGGAGACCCTCTACACATGCTCAATTTGGTGAGTATTGCAAGAGAGTTTTTTTTTCTTGGGAAAATGCATCAGCACAGGGCCAATCAGCCCTGTCCAGACAGAGGTCAGGGGTTCTGTATCCTCCTAGAGTAGAAAGAAAACTTCTTTTACAAGCTTTAACCAGTGCTCAGCTGAACACTGATAGAAGTCACAAGACTGATCTAACTGCTGATGAGAAAAGGTATTTAGCAGTTTATATTTACTAAAATAATTGCATTTCCATGTTCTGTGTACTGTGGGAGACCAGATATAGTGAATGCAGGGTCCTGAGTTTAGTAACAATTTAAGTGTGGGATGCAGCCACGGGCATACTTTGGGTAGTCATCAAAAGCCCATGTTCTACTAACCTTAGAGTTAAGGCTGTTTCCTCCAGTTGCAAAGCGTGCATTTTACTTTTTGAAGGTGACCTAAAGTGAATTTGTGCTTTTTGCATGACAGGTTCACTTAACAGCCCCCCTACCTTCCATACAACTAGTTGTCCTTTCATTTGAAGCACATTCAACTATGCTGCCAGCTGTGAGATTTTTAGGGTTTGTGAACATGGACTTTTACCATTGCAGTAGAGCCTTAGAGATCCAACAGGACATTTTACCATGGCTGAATTTCAACACAAGTAGGCCTGTGACGGCAGGAGAGAATTTCCAGCACAGTGGCTAGGTGGTTAGCACTTCTGCCTAGCAGTGCTAGGGTCTTCTGTTCGAATCCTAACCAGGGCACTACCTGCACAGAGTTCTCCCTGTGTGTGCTCTCTCTGCTGTTTGGGTTTCCTCTGGGTACTTTGGTTTCCTCCCACACTCCAAAAACATGCTGGTAGATTAATTGGTCCCTGTCTAAATTGGCCCTAGTATGTAAATTCCTTAAGGCATGCTGTATAAAAGACAAACAGTGGGGTGGGAAACAGGAGGTGCAGCAGATCTGCACTGAAGTACTTCATAGCTTGCTTGGACACCAGCGGTCCTAGCAACCAATAGCACAGTGAGGCGCTGGGAGGTGCAGGCTTTGTCAGGTTGCCGGTCTTGCATTGCATACTACCAGGGAGTGAGTATGCAGTGGAGGTCCTGCAACCCAATAAAGCTTGAAGAGAGACTGTCCCTGCAGTGAGTCCAAGGACTCAAAATGCAAGCCAGGAAAAATGTCCTTGCAGGCCAAATGAGGCCTGTGGGCCGCTGTTGCTGACCAAGAATGGCAGATAATAGAAAATACATAAGATAAAAGCACGTGTAAGGAACATCATGTCAGCCATCAAAAAGGTTGTGCCAGCTGTAATGCTCATGCACATAACCGTGCACATGTGTTCAGGCACAAGAACTTAAATAAACTTGCAACAATGTGCACATGCACAGATAGGAACACATGTGTACGACTTGCTCTTAAATGCATGGGCATATCCACCACAGATACTGGTGCCCAGTGGCCTATTTAAACCTATGCTCTTGATGAGATCAATGCTGAATGCTTTTTCAGGTTGCGTTCCTGTTATTCCGGATCTTGAACCTACTTGACCTTGTTGCTGACCCAGCTTTCGCCTGACCTGCTTCTGGATTATCCTTGCCTGTCTATTGACCTTGGCCTGAAATTACAACCAAAATTTTGCCCATCGATTCTGTACCTCGCTATCTGCATGTTGCCAAGATCTGCTTGTCCTTGAACTCGATCCTGCTCATGATTTGGTGTTATCCTGCTTTTACTGAAAGGTTTATTTCAAATTGGGGCAGTTGTCATCTTTCTTGTATAGCTTGTCTGCTGTTGCTGAACTCAGTTTGTAACCCGGCTCTGCTCACTACTGGACATGGTGTATTCTGGGTGCCTTCTCTGCTGTGCTGCTTCTTATTAGATACCAATGCCTCCAAGTTTAATTCTTCAATTCCAACTTTCTGGCACCCATGCCCTTCCATTTCCCTTGCAGTACCAGTCGTGACATTCAGTGGTGCTCAGTTGAGAATTGTGTGGGAGGCTACCCTCATCATCTCAGGCTCCTCATACAGGTATCTGACAGCAGGTATGTAACTAATATTTGGACAGCCAAAACTAGTTAAATATGGTGTCCCATCCCAAATGTAATATAGATGGAAGAGAACAGCAAAGATGAAATGGGACATTTTAGGCACCAAAAATTGAACAAATTAAATAAAAAATTTGTTTATTATCAAAATATTACAATTTGCATGAAACACCATGCACATAAAAGACATAGTAAATAAGTAGGTCCATAAAACATGCATAAACCACCATTAGATACATGAGCATATACAAAAGAAACATGCAAGTTAAACTCTAATACGTTTCACACTATTATTATTACTATACAGTATTTATATAGTGCCAACAGTTTGCTCAGCTCTGTACATTACAATGGGAGACAATACATGAGACAGTACAATAAAAATACAATGCTATACACGAGGGGTTTGAGGGCCCTGCTCCTTGGAGCTTACAATCTAGGAGGGAGGGGATAGTGGTACGGGAGGAATAGCTGTGGGGGATGGAGTGGTAGGAAGAGTGGAGGAGATTGGCAATTAGCAGAGGGCGGGGTAGGCTTCCCTGAAGAGGTCGGTTTTCAGGGTGCGCCTAAAGGAGAGGAGAGTAGGTGATAGTCTGATGGATTGGGGTAGGGAGTTCCATAGGATGGGTGATGCCCTGGAGAATTCCTGGAGGCGGGCATGGGAGGAGGAGACCAGGGAACTAGAGAGAAGGAGGTCTTGTGAGGAGCGGAGAGTGCGTTTTGGGTGGTATTTGGATATTAGGTCGGTGATGTAGTTTGGGGAAGAGTTATGGACAGCTTTGTACGTGAGTGTGAGCATTTTGAATTTGATCCGTTGGGTAATCGGAAGCCAATGGAGGGATTGGCAGAGGGGGGTGGCGGAACCGGAGCGGTTGGTAAGGTGGATGAGTCTGGCTGCCGTATTCAGGATCGACTGAAGCAGGGATAGCCTGTGGTGAGGCAGGCCAGTGAGGAGGGAGTTGCAGTAATCGAGTCGTGATATGATGAGGGAGTGGATGAGTTGCTTAGTAGTTTCCGGGGTTAGGAATGGGCGTGTTTTGGAGATGTTGCGGAGGTGGAGTCTGCATGAGTTTGTTAGCCATTGGACTTGGGGCTGGAAGGACAGATTGGAGTCTAGAATGACACCAAGTACTCTGGCTTGCGGGGTGGGACTGATGGTGGCATTGTTGGTCGTGATGGAGAAGTCGGGGGAGGGGAGGGGAGGCGCAGACTGGGGGGAAAACTAGGAGCTCGGTTTTGGAG